TGAAATATTTTTAAATAATAAATTAAAAATTAAAACATGTATGTCAAACCCTAAATTTTAGGAACTATTTTAAATATTGTTAATTCTTTTCCAGTTCCAGCAGAATACATTACATTAATTATATCCCACATGGATGATCTACAATTATTTTTGAATTATTATTAATTAATTAGGAAAATGTCAAACTATTAATTTGTTGTACTTTGTTATATGAATCTGCTTAAAACTTTATTTTATATTCGATCTTAAATGTTTTATACATTCTTTTAATAACTAAGAAATTTCATCTTTAAATGTTAAGCTTACATTGCTATCAGTGAGCAAGAGTACCCATAGGATCCCATGCAGGTAAAATAATAGGTTCCTGTTTAAATACATCCAGAATATCTGCAGGTACTAATTTTTTATCAATAACTACTTCAAAAACATATTCATGAAACCATTCGGCCGTTAATAACTGATATCCTTTCTGTCCTTGATCATCTCCCCATGAATTTTCTACTCGAAACTTCTTAATTTTGTTATCATTCTGAAAGGGAAAACAAGGTTGTATTTATCGTGTGTCAATAAGTTTTTTACAATTTAAAATAAATGTTAAAATATATTTTAAAGTAATTTCTTAAATAGACTGCCCACATATTAGAAAGGATATTGAACCTAGAAGTAAATAATATTTTCTATATGTTTGTAAAAAGTTTATGTCACAATAAATTAATCTGATACATAATATAGTATTATATTGAAAAATGATTGTATTAGGTTAGAAAATGACCTCAAATTTCATAATTTTAGTAAACAGTATAAGTCATCTAGTATTGACAACCAAAAAATACTAAAAATACTTGTGTACTTCTAGCTTACACATAAAAATGAGATATCAGATTCACCAAGTAGATAAATGTATTTTTGTAATCTTGCTGCTATAAATAATAATGAACACACAGAACAGTTCATATTTTTTAGGTAACTGATAAGTTTTTAAATTTTAATGCTGTTTTTTAAAATATGCATTGTACGTGGTTAATAAATTAAGAAAATGGTATTATTTAATTTATTGCAAGCAGTGTTTTTTATGGATATATAGAAATTATTACATGCAATTACATTCAGTGGTGCTTTCAAGAAATTAACACGATGTTCCATTAACTTACATCAATTGAAACGGCAGTAAATGCCATTGCATGAACCATCATAGAATCTCCATAAAGCAATCTATCTGCTTTTGTAAGGTTGACTTCTATATCTGTTCCAAACATTAATTCAAAATCATATGCTTTTATGTCGTCAATACCCTGCTTGCCTATTATTCGTTTGTTTACATCACATCCAAACCATACAGGTTCATTTTGTTTTATACTTTCTGCAGATAATTCCATTAACAATGCAGGTGGTTGGTTATTATATAATGTTGGTTTTCCACCTACTACATTTCCCAAATAGTCTATTGTATAAAGTTTTCTATACGGATTAGATGGTCTTGGATCTGTTACTAAACATACTTTGTCATTAACATTATAACATGGTTTTACATATTTTTCATAAAATTCCACTGGTGTAATTGGACCAATACAATTATAATTTTTCGATTTATTATAATATTCCCAAGTAATCGTTTCTGATGGAATGCCCAAACAGATTCCAATTATTCGATAAATTACGACCATCTGTTCTAGAATCTGATCTTCTAGTTCTTTGTCCGATGAACCATTAAATACCATGTCTCTTAATATTTTACAGTATTCTCTTAATTTACCTTTTAAGATAGTATTCATATAAGAACTAGATTCAGAACTGTATGATTCAGGGAAGCAAACTTTAGGGACAAGACCATAACGATTTATAAGATTAACAATCATTTCCCATTGTCCTCCATCGGATACAGGATCACGTAATAAAAATGACATCAAGCGACCTTCTACTGTTTCACCTCGCTTAGCACTTTTTACAATATTATGAAGAAAGTAATTACACCGCTCAACCTATAAAATAATTAATATACTTACATATAAATATTACATACTTTTACTTCTTATGTAAAGTATAAGTTATGTATAACATTGACCTTATCCCAGAAAAATAGATATGCTTGACTAAATTCAAATTCATCCAGATTATATTGCTTCATAAATGCAGGTCGTATGACATTTAATATTGAAAATAACCAACATCGTCCTGTACGTTTCTGATTTGTCACAGGTTTCCCTTCTGTTTCAATCTTGTGAGTGAAGACGTGCTGTGTTTCCTCTAAAACTTTTCTTGAAATACAAGCCTCTATGGGATGTGTTTTCGTACATATGTTTTGTGCTAAAATATTGCGATTATCTTCATAAAATTTTGCACGTAATTGGCTTACTATTTCTGGCGTAAGAGCACCTGCTGATTATAAAAGATATAATGAAATATTTATAATTTAAACTGACTAAAATTACATAACATTTAAATTACTCCTATTTAAAGTTAATAAGTAATCCGGTGTTACTATATTATTAGCATTCTATTGAAAACTTCATGAACTAAAATCAAAATTAAGAAAGAAAATAAAAACTATACTAAACTATAATGCAGTAACGCTTATTTAATATATTCATAAAAATCAGTGTTCCTCGTAAAGTTTTAAAATTTTATGAATTTTTTTTATAACAAAGTATACATATGAAGATGAAGCAAATATTTATTATACTTTACCTACATAGTAGTAAGTAAATAATTTAGTAACAATTAAAGCTAATTTAACTCTTTCGCCTACAATTTCTTTCATAACTATGTTCACTAGGATAACTTTGTCATTAATAATTTACCAAAAAGCAATGAAAAATTCCTCACTCATTAAATGTTTACTTCAGAACATAATTAATAATGGAAAAATAATATTTAATTTGAACTCACAATAATTGAGTGACATTTAATTTTTGTAATTTCCATTTGAGAACTTTCTCTGGAGTCTGACTTGATATTATATGACAAGGGGTTAATATAATTTCAAGTTATTATGTAGATATATTTTATATTTGTATATAAATAAGTATCTCATCCTCTATGTATCTGCTATACTTTCACAATACCCTGTAAGTTTTTATTATATCCCCACATGAAGGAATAGCTTCATTTATGTAAATTTTTTAGGCTCATTTATCTTAAAGCTATTTTTTTAATAAGTAAAGAAGGAGAATTGAACTGAATGGATTATTTTCATGAACTTGAATCCGTATAAAAGTAACCATAGGCAGAAGTGCCTCTTATTTAAAATTATAATTCAAATTATAATATGCAAATCAAATTTATAACATATTTTGTATAAGTTATTCATAGTATGATTTTGAAACATACAAGAAATATATGTACCTCACATAAACATAAAATACAAAAGGATAATATTAAAATCTACCATATTTATTAAATTAACAGTAGAATGTCACGTTAAGTTCCAGTTATGCTAACATATGTAATGTACATTATCAAATAATAGGAATTTGCATTCAAAATAATACATTTTATATCAAATTTAACGTTAGATATTTATTACTAGTAATATGTTTTTAATTTTATAAAATTACAGAAAATTTTACGGATTTGTATTTGTACGTTAAGTAAATAATTGGATAACCATAATTAATTGTGACTTTAGAAATAAAAAAATATTTCTATAAAAATAATTTATGAGAACGAGGAGTGGCTGAACAAAACGCTTGATAGGGTTTCATTTTTATTGAAATGTTAAAAAATCAAGTTTTCATGTATGTATGTATGTATGTATATATATATATATATATATATATATATATATATATATATATATATTATATATATATATATATATATATATATATATATATATATATTATATACATATATATATATATATACGTCCATACGTACATTATGGCATACAAATATTATATAAAAAACAATCACGAAAACTAAAAATATAAACGCAAATAAAAGCATAACTCACAGGCAACCATCGTGTTGAACAAATTCTTCTCGCTTCAACTGTAATGGATTCAATGACGGTTTCTACCAACTATCGTGCGAAAGCATACCACTTTTTTGCGTAGAAGTCGTTCAATAGACAAGATAGGATGATAGGTCTATTTACATCACATATGAGTTCACGAGTTTCTTGGAAGATATTTAAACATTATTCATGTGCAGATTATAGTCCAATTCAAGTAATTCAAAAGTTATTCTGTAAACCAACCAAAAAGCAAATAGCGGTATTAATGCTTGTGTGTAAATGAATGGGTCTTCTATGAGTATATAAAATATAAAGTATACAACTTTTTTTAATTAAAACGCACAATAAAATAATATTACTTGTGTTTAAAATAAGAGTGATATAATGAAAATTGTACAAAATTCAACAATTTTAATGAAATAAATTTGTAATGAGTAAAAAATATATTTGTGCTGTTATTATTTTCATGTATAATAAGTTCACAGCTCATAAAACCATAATTTTTGAAATTTCAGTATTATGTTAAATAATTGGAAATATTAAAACATTTTTTTAGTAAATATATTTTATTAACATGTTATTAGTTTAATATTCACAATTAAGAGAAAATTATCTCTTTCATTAATACTATAATTCTAACTATAAGAATGACTCATACATCTTATACATCTATATTTTATTTGAGTGCATATAATCAAGTTTTTATGAAATACATATTTATCAGAAAGATAGCTTTCCACAAGTTTAAGTGTAACATGAGACTTACACAACATAACTTCTATTTATAATACTTCTAATTAAATATTGCTGCCAATATCATAAATATTATTACTTAAATAAATTTAGGTTTAATTATCGATGAATGTTTCATGAATCAAAAGAATTTAATTGCGAACATTTTCCACTTAATGCTAAGAAATTTAATTATGAACTTATATTTGGTGAAAGTGGGTCTTCTGCTTTGGATTCTAAAGAGAAAGGTGGAATTCTACAATCAAATGCATATCCATCTTCCCTCTCCATTCTGAATGTTCCCCTACAAGAAAATAGCAATTTTATACTGATTTTAACATCTTTCAATTAAATATAAATATATTAAGTAATAGGAAAGTACATACCACATATGTCCACTTGCAGCTTGTAAACTTACGTGACTACTGTATTGAAAAGCAGGTAAGACTTTTGATAAAATAGGTTCTTGCCCAACTACACCTCTTCCTCTAACAGTTTCCAATGTTCCAGAAAGACTAAATATTCTCCAATGTCTTTCGCGTAACTGTACACTCAGATCACCCAAATTCTCCAAACGAATGCAATATCGCCACTACATAAATTTTGTTACTAATGTAAAAACTTTACATAAACTTAAACATAGCTTTATTTATACCTGACGTATTGCCTGCCATAATACATACCCAATGTACTGTTGCATTTTGACTTCCTCTACAACCCATATAAAATGGTATGACAGTAACACGAATATTTTCTGTAGTTTCTTTATGTACATCTGATAATTCCAACCAAGGATGATTCTTTTTTTGCCATGCCTTAAGAGTATCTTGTGCAACGAAACATGGATCTTGATCTGGTTTATACATTAGAAATTTATCAAAAAGTTCATGTTGCAATGCAGTCTCTTCGTTTGTTGTATAAGGTAAAACATCTTCATGAGCAACATAATCTAACCCTGGTATCGCATATAAGCTGCGACTACTTTCCTGGTTCCCCAAAAATGTTACAGCTTCTGTTTGAGCACGCTATATACGCATAAACAAGATTTACATAATATTAATGTTTGCATTTGTGATTAATCACCAATAATTTGAAGCAAATTATATTAAAATAATTTAAAATGTATGGTCACTAAATCACATAAGAATCAGATTATACAATCATCCTAAATCACTCTTTTTTTGAGCCATTCAATGAACAATTTTGAATAGCTAATTATTTCAATATTTTTAAAGTTGATAAATAATAATACAAATATGTTACACTTACTATGTAAGGACAATCTCTCTGGTCAATTAATACCTGGTAAAATGTATGAGTTCTACCTTTTATTTCTCTTTCCACGCTATTAAAATTATCATTTGTATTTCTGCAATCATTAATAGCTGTAATTAGTATTATATTGTTTATAATAATAAATTATTTTGATTTTTATGTGAATTGATATGTTGCACTTACTCGTCTCTTTTGTTCGGAATATCTCTGTCATAAACTCTTGCTGCCCATGGAAATAATATTACTCCACGATAACCAAATACTCTATGCAAAATTAGTTGGCCAGTTTCATATTTTCCTTGTAATTTTGGTGTTTCCAACTTTCCTACTTCAGCCAATCTAAAATGTAAACATGTTTTATGAAATTATAAATCCATCATTAACAGAATATGTAATAGTTTGAGAATAACAAACTAAAATTGTTATACACAAATATTAATTACAATAGAACCAAAATATAGATAAAAACCATTAAAGAAAGACATTAATTATACTTACATCTAGAAATAACATATTTGATAATTTAAGCTATTGTGATTTTCGAGCATATTTCATGAAATAACCGTAAAGCGTATTTTATATTTTTACTATAACTATTATATTAGTAATATTTGATTTAAATGAAATTTACATCACCTGATATGTCTTACTTGATATAAATAAGATTTTTTCGGTACTTTAAGAAGGTAACATTTCAATTTGCAAGTAATTAAATTTCGCGAAAGTTCCATACTTTTTGATTATTGTAATAGAATATGCAGTCTAATTTGAATGGCACAAAATCGAAAATATATTGACATTTCTCAAACTTGTTACTGATTACGTTATAATATGCACGTTATATACTGTTTATATGCGTATTTAATATAAAGGGAGATTTTCATGATAAAAATAATACGGGTGGTATACACATAAGCATTAACAGTACAGACGAAATATAGCAGAGGCGCTAACTTATTCTCCTCATTCTAGTACCACAAACATCATGCCTAAATCAGTATCCGTGGGCACTCTAGTGACACTCCCCTCACGAGAAGTTACCCTCTCCATACTACTTTTACTTGTAATTGAACCCTACACAGTATCAAGTAGCTCCTTGAATAGAGGTAGTGGGGGAACGCTGATTCGGGTTACTAGCATGAGGGGAGTAAGTTAGACACTTCTGTCTAAGTAACTGTATTATTTTACTGTTTAATTCAATGAATAACGAATTTTTTATATCGACAACACTGTATTGATTGTCATTAAAAATTTCAATATTTTTAATTCTCATTCCTATTACTTATAGCGTTGTCATGCAAAACCAGCCTTAGTCGATATGACAGGGCAAGCATGAAAATGATAAGGGGTACTAGTATTCCCGAGAGCGTGTGACAAAATTTTACATTGCATGTTATGTCTATCCTATGTCTCGTCTGTGGTATAAGCATAGGAAGTATAAGAACAGACTGTCAAGCTACTTTACCGACCAAGAAATCTAAGAGAGATTATAGTGTCCTCTTCTGGTGGACAACAGTCTGTTGACTGTAGTGATCGATGAATTATCAATCTGTTAGATTTGTCGATAATTAGAGAGAAGCACAAGTGATAAAGGGGTGACGAAGGGTGGAAATTCATAAATACATATAAGGAGAGGGGGTTTGTGCATTATTTTTTGGGTTTTCGAGCTTCGGGAGCACTAAGAACTCTGTTGTTTTAAACTCGGAAAATAATTCATATTTTTTGAGTTTTTTTTTTAATTTGAGTATCTTGGTAACCGAGTTTACGGGCTTTCGAGTTAATTTTTTTAATCTACTTGAAAAATGTAAACAGTTCTAAGTTTAATACATTGACGCACAAAGGAACTGTAACAGTGGTGTTTCCGGAAACCTCATTGAAGTCTAAGGTCCGTTATAGTTTGAAAAAGCTCTGATGTCTATTTGTATATAGGTTCTCCATCTTCCCTTCTTCTCTATTACAACTTGCATGCATTATCATACAGTCATCGCATAAATACTTCTTACCGCTAAATGCATTGCGGATTACGGCTAAGATTGAAAATATTATTTATGGGTATACGTGTCTTTGCACATGGATACTCATATCGATTGTTTAAACTTTATATACGATGTCTATTATCTAAGAAATAATTATTGCACTTACCTTCGGATCTGGAATGATCGTAATAAAAGTAACATAAAAGCAAAAGTAAAAGGGACAACTTGAATGAAAAGTAAAACAGCAGACCCGCGTCATGATTGGTCAATGAAAACTCACTGTTATTTTTCGATAGTAAGAAGTGTATATTACTACAACATACTTGTGGGATATCGATTGCAACAATAATCGCATCGGTAAAATGGGATGGTTCGGGAGATGGGCATTGAGTTTCGTGATAGAGGATGCGGGAAAGGTAATTGAAGGGCGGAGGACGAATGGCGAGGGACGGGTTGGAGGTTCGCTACTTTTCTACACGGCGGATACGTATACAACAAAGAAAAAACACACACATATTTAGCTGTGATAATAGTTTGTTCGCATATCAATACGTGTCGTGTAGTCGCATTACCAGGATAGAGTTACAAGGATTCGTTTAGAAAAAGAAGAACGAAAACTGTTTTCCGGCGGGTCATGGTGAATCGCATCGAACGCGGGCCGGTTGCCACGTCGAACGGCGCCCCGTTTTCACGTCTCGAAAAATTATCGCAGGATATCATACATCATACATCAATCAAACAATACCGCTTCGTTGATTCGGCTAAGAAACAAGGGAATGGAATGTCTCTGAACGTTTCTGCATGTTCTCATTTGGTTCTTCTTAGTTTCTTTCCTATCTTTTTGATCGTTATCGTAGTATCTTTTGTTTGTTTTCGGTTTTGATTTTCAGTATTTCGTAACGTTTTCGTTCATTCGTTTTATCCGTTTTGAAGTTTTGTCTGAAACAAAAGGTTCCGCATGAACGATTGGCAGACGGTCGTTGGCAGTGTTTCCCTTGCGCAATTGGAAGAAAGTAAAATCGTGAAGATCACGAGCGAGGACAAATTGTCAAGAAGTCTGAACGAGCGTCAGACCGACACTTAACATTGAGTATTACGCAGGTAACTGGTTAACATTTATCTCAGAGTGTATACATCCATGCTAGCTTAGTATTTAATTGGTCAAGATACTGTAACGGTGAAAGGACATACGTATTCTTTTCTGCTTTCTTGGTTTACTTCGGGTTCCGTCATGACACACTAACAACCGTACGATCTCGAGCTCCGTTCGGTCTCCTCGAACAATTGAAAATCGTCACGATCGAACCGAAAAGAACGAGAGCTGCAAGAAGATTCTCCACCCGAGATATCGGTTGTCCTCTGTCTCTCTACGTTCTTCCAACGATTTGCCGATTATGCGTTTTTTGTACTTATTCCAAATTCCAAGGTCACGCGCAAATCGTAATGCAACTGCAGCCGCAACCTCCTTCGTCCCTTCTATTGCGTGCTACTACCGAATGATAAACTGGCTGGCGAACGCGACGAATTTCATTCAAAATTTAGGATTCGACTTTTGATTCCTGTCAACTGTTACGCGAAACGCTAACCAATCATATTTACAAATAAACAGGAGGACCAACGAAAAGATCTAGACCGCTAAGGGGGAACGTTCGCCAACGGTTGCAAATTATGGATATTTACAAATACAATAGGTTCTCTTAGACTTATTAGTTGACTTAATTGTACGATCAATAGGAAACGCGCAATGAACTCCTCGGGTTGTGTGTTCTCGCATTTTACAGAATTCTTTATCGATCTGTTCACTGTAACCGATGAATCCACTGCGTCCCTTTCAACGATAATGTCAGAACGAAATTAATTGACGGTTTGAGGTCGCTTTCTCCACCACGGAACTTACCAATCTCCTACATACTTTCATACTTCGATCCTTGAAGTGCGCGATATCTGTCTAGTATCGTTGTACTTCGTTCCGACCATATCGGTGGGCGTAAACCTATCTCGTTTTCTTTGTAAACTCAACGGTCGACGGAAGACTTGGGAAATGGCGGCGAACGGTGTCGCGGCCATTTTCCGCTCTGTTTGATTGCTCGTCTGCGTTTCGTAGCGATGTCGTGGCAGTTCCATTACGATGTTGCAAAAGTTTCACGGCTCAATGGAAGGTCGCAAGTCCAGAGGTGTCGTGGGATCCGTCGATTAGGCCAATTAAGGGGGTGGAACGCATCGGATGGAGTCGTTCCACCGATCGGTGAGGGGGCGCTGAAGCTTCTTCCCGGCGATAAACTCGGCAAGACGTATCGTCCACTAGAGCGCTACGCGATTGGCTGAATTCGATTAGCTCAAAAAACGACAATTAACACATTTAATTAGTCGTACACACATGAAACATCATGGATACGTATATAAACAGTTCTCTTATCGTAGGCCTGTGTGAATACTTGCATTTGAATGTCGCGGTCCGGTTTGACCCGATCGTCAAACGCGGCAAAAACCAATCACGCCTTAAAAAGGAAACAAATTACATACTCGAACACGACCACGTGAACGAAATACTCGTAGTACCATACGTGTATATATATATATATTTATATATATATCTACAT